CACAAAACTCCCAAACTCATAGGTACAGATAACACCTTAGTGGTTGCTAGAGGTAGAGGGGGGAGAAATGGTACAAACTTACAGTTATAAATAAGTCATGGGATTTAATGTATAGCATGGTGACTCTAGTAATATTACTGTATGTATATTTGAAAGTTGCTAAGACAGTAGATCTTAAAATTTCTCATCACAAGAAAAAATTGTAACTCTGTGGTAATAACTAGATTCATTGTAGTGTTCATTTCACAATATACACAAATATCAAATCATAACATACATCTGAATTAATATGTTTTATATACATTATATCTCAGTAAAGATAATTGCCTAAGTTTCCACATTTGGAAACTAGAAAAGGAAGAGCAAATTAAATGCAAAGTAAGTAGAATGAGAGAAGTAATGAGAATTAGAGTAGAAATCAGTGACATTAAAATCCAAAAAGTAATAGAATCAGTGAAATAAAAAACTGGTTCTTTGAAAAGATTAGTAAAATTAATAAGCCTTCTTGCCAGGCTAAGAAAAAAAGAGACAGGACATAAATTACTAATATAAAAAAATGAAAGGGAAAAGTCATACGGATCCTTTGGACATTAAAAGGATAAAAAAGGAATACTATGAACAACTCTGTGCCCCAAGTTTGATAAGCTAGAAGAAATGGACCAATTCCTTGAAAGACACAATTTGCCCAAACTCACACACATGAAGAAATAGACAATCTGGATAGGTCTGTATGAAGAAATTTAATCAATAATTAATCGCCTTTTAAAACAGAAAGCACCAGGCCCAGATAGGTTCACTGGTTAATTCTACCAAACATTTAAGGAAGAAATTATTATCAGTTCTCTACATTCTCTGTCTTAGGACAGTAGCAGATATATTCAGTTTAATTAAAAGCACAGCTGACATGTCTCCTAACTCACAATGAGACCTGCATTCCTCTAATACCAAAATCAAACAAATATATTACAAGAAAACGACAAACCGATATCTCTCATAAACATAGATGCAGAAATCTTCAACATAATATTAGAAATCAGATCCAACAATGTATACAAAGAATTATACACCACAACCAAGTGGGATGTATCCCAGGTATGCAAGGCTGGTTCACATTTGAAAATCATTTGGCATCTGTCACATCAGACTGAAAATGAAAAATCACAATCAGGTTAATAAGATGCAAAAAAGCATTTGACAGAATCCACCACCTATTTATGATAAAAACTCTTCAGTAAACTAGGAATAGATGAGAACTTCCTCAACTTGATAAAGAATATCTACAAAAAACCTACACCATACTTAATGGTGAGAAAATCAAAGCTTTCCTAGTAAGATCAGATATAAGGCAAGGATGTCCCCTCTTGGCACTCCTTTTCAACGTTGGTCTGGGAGTTTTAGCTAATGAAATAAAATAAGAAAATATAAGGTATATAGATAGGAAAGGAAGAAATAAGACTTTTTGTTGGCAGTAAACATGATCATCTATGTAGAAAATCCTAAAGAATTGACCAACGAACCAACAAACAAAACCCAACTCTCCTGGAACTAAGAATCAATTATAGCAAGGTTGCAGGATACAAGGTTAATATACAAAAATCAATCACTTTCCTATTTACCAGCAATGAACAAGTACAGTTTAAAAATTGAAAACATAATACTGTTTACAATACTATCCCCCCAATTAAATACTTAGGTATAAATCAAACAAAATATGTGCAAGATTTATATGAGGAAAACTATAAAACACTGATAAAAGCAATCAAAGAACTAAATAAATGTAGAGATAGTCTATGTTCATGGATAGAAGGACTCAAAATTGTCAAGATGTTACTTCTTCCCAACTTGATCCATAGATTTAATGCAATCCCAATAAAAATCTCAGCTAGTTATTTTGTACATATCTACAAACTGATTCTAAAGCTTATAGCGAGAGGCAAAAGAACCAGAATAGCCAATACAGTGTTACAGAAGAAAAACAAAGTTAGAGGACTGACACTAGCCAACTTTAAGTTTTACTATAAATTTATAGTAATCAAGACAGTATGGTACTGGCAAAAATAAAAAAATAGACAAATAGATCAATGGAACAGAATGAAGAACACAAACGGACCCACATAAATATAGTAACTGATCTTTGACAAAGGAGTAAAGGCAATTCAGTGGAGCAGAGATGGTCTTTTTAACAAATGGGTGTTGGAACGACTGACATCAATATGAAAAAGAAAAAATGTACCTAGACACAGGTCTTGCACCCTTTACAAAAATGAACTCAAAATAGATCGTAAGCCTAAAGATAAAATGCAAAATTACAAGACTCCTAGAAGATAACATAGGAGAAAACTTATATGACCTTGGGTTTGGTGATGACTTTTAAAATACAACACTAAAAGCATGATCCATGAAAAAATTCATAAGTTGGACTTTATTGAAATTAAAAACTTTTGTTCTGTGAAGGACAGTGTCAATAGAATGAGAAGACAAGCCACTGACAAAATATTTTCAAAAGACACATCTGATAAAGGACTGTTACCCCACATATACAAAGTACTCTTAACACTCCACAGTAAGAAAACAACCTGATTTAAAAACACGCCAAAGACCTTAATAGACACTTCACCAAAGAAGATATGCAGAGCCCTGGCTGGGGCATGTATCTTGGTTGCAATTTGTCCTTGGCCTGGTTGGGGTCATGTGGGTGGCAACCAGTCATGTGTCTCTCTCACATCGATGTCTCTCTCTCTCTCTCCTTCCCTCCTTCACAGTCTATCTGAAGATAAATGCAAAAATGTCCTCGGGTGAGGATTAAAAATAATAAAAAGATATGCAGATTTTCCATAAGCACATCAAAAGATTCTGTGCATCATATATTATCAAGAAAAGTAAAGTAACAGTGAGTTACCACTACTCTTACCTACTAGAATACTCAAAATCTAGAACACTGACACCAATGCTGACAACAGGAACTCTGATTCATTGTTGGTGGGAATGCAAAATGGTGCACTCACGTTGGAAGACAGTTTGTTGGTTTTTTATGAAAATAAACATATGCTTTCTTGCCATACAATCCAGTAGTCACGCTCCTTGGTATTTACCCAAAGGAGTTGAAAATGTATGTCCCCACAAAAAGCTGCACACAGATGTTTATAGAACCTTTATTCATCATTGTTAAAACTTAAGCAACCAAGACATCCCTCAGTAGTTGATAAGTAAGTTGGTCCATCCACACAGTGGAATATTATTCAGCACGAAAAAAATTGACTTATCAAGCCAAGAAAAGATGTGAAAAAACTTTAAATACACGTTACTATGTGAAAAAAGTCTATCTGAAAAGACTGTTTTTCCAACTATATGACATTCTGGAAAACCATTTATGGATACAGTAAAAAAAAAAAAAAAAAGTTGCCAGGGGTTAGAATGTGTAGGAAGAGTTAAATAGGCAGAGCACAGAGGATTTTTAGGGCAGTGAAATTCCCTGTGTGATATCATAATGAGGGACACATGTCATTATACATTTGTCCAAATGCATAAAATATACAGCAGGAATAAACCATATGGACTATGGGCAATTATGATGTGTCAGTGTAGTTTCTCAATTGTAGCAAATGTACCACTCTAGTGGGGAATGTTCATAAGTGGGGAGACTACACATGTTTGAGGGTGGGGGATATGGGAACTCTCTGTATCTTCCCCTCAATTTTGCTGTGAACCTTAAACCTCTTTAAAACAATAAAGTCTTAATTTTAAAAAGTAAAATAAAGCAAAAGAAAAACACACCAATCTTCTGGAAAATCTGTATGCCCAGATGGTTTCACTGACAAATTTTATTAAACATTAAAAAAAATAATAACAAAGCCAATTTTATGTAGTCCCTCCTATATATTTTTTTAACTTTTAATTTGGAATAATTTTAGTCTCATAGTTGTAAAAGTAGTACATAGAATTCATTTAGTTTTCTGTAATAACATATAACTATAGTACATTATCAAACCATCTTCCATTTTTATTAATTACAATGGATTATATGCTTATCGTGCTAAAAATTTAAAGAGTTTAAACAAGTTCGAAGTAAAAAAATGAAATCTGTCTCATGCCCACCCAAAGCCAGATAAATAAATCACTCTCTGGGGCAACCACTATTAGTGATTTGTTGGGCATTTTTCCAGAGTATTTTCTGCATACACAGAGATATATAAACCTACATGTGTGTAGATGTAGTTTTGTTTATTTTTTATCAGTTAGATCATTTTGTATATGCGTTGTTTTTCAACTTGTTTTTAGTCAATAGAATGTCATTAATCCATGTGATACCTATATCCCCCTGCCCCTCAAATAATGGTATTTCTTTTGGGTCAACAGTATTATGTAGTAATCAGGTATAGCATCTTCTTTTTTTTATGAATCCGCATCTGATGATATTTTTGCCATTGATTTTTAGAGAGAGTGGGAGGGAGGGAGGGAGGGAAGAGTGGAGAAGAGAAAGACATTGATGTGAGAGAGACACATCAGTTGGGCTGGGAATTGAACCTGCAACCCAAGTATGTAGCCTTGACCAGGAATTGAACCCAGGACCCTTTGGTGTGTGGGCCGACACTCTAACCACTGAGCAACACCAGCCAAGGCTCTTTTTATTTTGATGGACAAAGTTTGTCTCCCATTATTTTCTATTGCATATAGTGTTCATTGCCCATCCTTGTTTGTGTGACTTTGAGGAGTTCTTGAGTGCTTTCAATAGTAGGTTTTTAGAAATTGTGTTGCTGAGTTAGGGACTTGGTGATATTACATTTGTCCCTTGCTGTCTGTGGGGTACTGGTTCCAGGATATACCAAAATGTGAAGACACTCAAGTCCCTTATATAAAATAGTGCAGTATTTGCATATAACCTACATCCTCCCATATATTTGCAATCACCTGTAGATTACTTATAATACCTAATACAACGTAAAGGTGTGTGCTTGTTATACTGTATTGTTTAGGGAATAATGACAAGGTAAAAAAGCGTACATCTTTAATATAGATGCAACCATTGTAGGTCTAACTACATAGTGCACATTAGCAACCACATAACTTTTTTCTGAATGTTTTCAGTTAGCAATAATCGTGTCTCAGATAAACCTCATTGGCTACGACACTGCCACTACGCAAAACTTTTTCTGAATATTTTCAGTCAGCTGTTGGTTGACTCCTTGGATGTGGAACCCATGATATGGAGGGCCGACTTGTATTTGGGATTTTGAGTTTGTAATTCTGAGTGAGTTTGGTTTGTGACAGTGGAGGTCAGCCTGAGCCATACATTGTACCCCTACCTAGAGCAGCAGTTTTCAACCTTTTCATCTCATGGCACACATAAAGTAATTACTAAAATCCTGCAGCACACCAAAAAATTTATTTTTTTGCCAGTCCGACCAAATAAAGGTATAACTTTAAAAAAATATTTATTTATTTATTTATTTATTTATTTATTTATTTATTTATTTATTTTAAATTCTCCCCTGAGGACATTTTTGCATTTATCTTCAGATAGAGTGGGAAGGAGTGAGGGAGGAAGAGAGAGAGAGAGAGAAACATTGATGTGAGAGAGACACATCGAGTGGTTGCTATTCACAAGACCCCAACCAGGGCTGAGGATAAACTGCAACCGAAGTACATGCCCTTAGTGGGAACCGAACCCAGGACTCTCTGGTCCGCAGGCCGATGCTCTAACCTCTGAGCTAGACTGGCCAGGGCAAAACAAATTTTTTTATTGATTTTTAGAGAGAGGAAGGGAGAGGGAGAGTGAGAAACATTGATGTGAGAGAAAATATTGATAAACTGCCTCCCGCACACCCCCTGCCAGGGATCGAGCCCACCTTTTTGTGCACAGTACAACACCCGACCAACTAAGCTACATAGGCTAGGGGAAAAAGGTATCATTATGATTCATTCATACTGACAATTATTATGTTGGCTGTTGTCATTTTTTTAAATTGACAATCTAAGGGAAAAGAGTTAATGCCCTTTACTAAATAGCCAGGTATTGCATTAAAAAAAAGTTCTTGCGGCACACCAGTTGAAAATTGTTGACCTAGAGGACTAGTAAGAGCAGCTGCCATCCTTCCGACCACCAGAGAAGCTAGTTGTGAGGATGGACCCTGGCTTTTTTTCCAAAGTACCCCAGGTGCCTGGGTGCTATGGCTATTGAGTCATGGTTACCCTAGTTCTGTGCATTGTATTGAGAGCTTGGCTCTGCTGTTTGTCTCTTTAGTGTTTACTGAACTTGAGGTCAGAAAACTTGGATTCAGTTCCTTTTTCTATTAGCTTATTATAGTCATGCACCGCTTAACAGCAGGGACCCATTCTAATAAATGTATCCTTAGGCAATTTTGTCCTTGTGCTGTTATCACAGAGTGCACTTACACATGCCTAGATGTTATACTCTACCACACCTAGGCTGTGTGGTGGTACAGCTTATTGCTCTTAGGCTACAAGCCTGTACAGCCTGTTACTACACAAAACAACATGAGGTTAAATCAGACACAGAGAAATGATGCGATTAAGAGGTGGCAAACATGAGATGGATGAGGCTGCTGTTTTACAGCAAACTTTTTCTATGTAAGTAGAAATAGTACACTCAACAATAAAAACATATAATAAATGCATAAACCAGTAACATAGTTGTTGATTAAGTATTATGTACTGAACATAGTTATATGTGCTTTACTTTTATACAACTGGCAGGGCAGGTTTATTTATACCAGCATCACCATAAACACAGAATGTGTTGCCCTGTAATGTTATGAAGTCACTAGGTGATAGGAATCTTTCAGTTCCATTATAATCTTATGGGACCACCATCCTATGTTCGGTCAGTCATTGAAACATCATTTTGCCACTATGACTATAGTCTTGTAAGTCTGGATTCTGTTTCGGAATTCTACTTTGCTCTTTGTGTAGGTGGAAACTTTACATTCAGTGGTGTGTTGAGTTAGTGTCTAAGTTGATATGTGAAAGTATAGTAACTGGTTACACATAAAAATGTGTGGCTGGTTATGTTCAGTTGGTTCAGTAAAAAAAATGAGACAGTTTTTGGGATATCATGAACATCCAACAGGGAGTTATACCATGTTTCATTTCTGAATGCTCTTTGGGTACCTTCACCATATAAATGTTAATTTGAGATGGGAACGTAAGAAACTGTTTCTAGGAAATGGATGCTTAATTTTTAAATATCCTGGAGAAGTAAATGCTCCGATTTAAAAAACAATTTTTTTTTCTTTATTGATTTTAGAGAGAGAGGAAGGGAGAGGGAGAGAGAGAACAGAAACATTGATGAGCAAGAACATTGATTGACCACCTCCTGCATGCCCCCCACTGGGGATTTGGCCTACAACCTGTGCATGTGCCCTGACTAGGAATTGAACTGGTGACTTCTTAGTGCATGGGTTGATGCTCAACCACTGAGCCACACCAGGCGGGCAATGCTCCGATTTTAAATAGTGATTTATCAGTTTTAATTTGTATAGCAATATTTAGTGTTCATTTAAATTTTTCTTAATTACATATTTTTATATATTCCAGAGGAATCAGTTTTTAGTAGATGTTACTTTAAAAAACACTGTGCTTTAAAGTTGTTCACAAGTTAAAACTTAATAAGTGAAATTACACAATCATATTCTGTATCTGATCAGGGTCTGTGAGTGTCATATGAATGGGTAGGACAAGGACAATGTACCCCAAGGGTCACTGCAGTCAGCAATGGATTGTGTACTCATTGCATTGTGAATGGGTTGATGTTAAAATGGAGTTTTTAGAGCCCTGGCCAGTTTGGCTCAGCAGTAGAGCGTCAACCCGTGGACCAGTAAGTCTCGGGTTTGATTCCAGCCAAGGGAACTTACCTCAATTGTGGTTCATCCCCGGCCCTGGTCTGGGTCGTACGGGAGGCAAACAGTCGATGTGTCCCTCTCAGGTCAATGTTTCTCTCTCTCCCTTTCTCTCCTTTCCACTCTATCTGAAGATAAATAGAAAAAATATATCCTGGGGTGAGGATTAAAAAAAAAAGGAGTGCTTAGAGAAAAATATAGGCAGTAGAATGATAATATAATGCCACTTAGGTAAAGTGAAAATACATGGACATATGGCAGTATACATTCTGCAGAACATTCAAATTAAAAGATGCTAAATGCAAAAGAATAGTTTCCTATGGCAAGCATAGGGGATTAGAGGGATAGAAGGATAAATAGAGGGAAGGATAGATGAAATAACTAAAGGGAACTCTCTGGGGAGGGTCTGACTGAATGAGCTGTTGTCAAATCAGAGGGTCTGTGCAAGATTGGGGGAGCTCTTCAGGCCATGGGAGTTTTGTGGTAGCCTGGCCTGTTCCAGAGCTAATGCCTGTTTGGTGGGCAGGACCCGGTGCTTCCCTGACCTCAGATTCATTTTCTATAGGCGGGTGTATTAATGTCTACCAAGAGGCTTTCAGTGAGGCTTAACTTAGATGGCAGACACAACAAATCTCCAAGTCAAGAGTTTATCCAAAGGAAATACTTCTGAAGCACTCAATAAGTGATAACAGTGTGGCTGCTTTACTTGTTTGTTTGGAGTGACGGGGGTAGAGTGAGGGAACAGATGGGATGAGAGGAGGGCTTGCCAAACACTAAAAGCTTTCTATTGAAGACAGTTCACCCAAAGAACAAGCTACTAGTGGAAATTGTAATGTATATTTCTGGTCTAAATAAAGTCTCCAAAACATGACAAATCCACTATGAACACCCAAGTGCTGTCTGGGAAACCTTGTAGTGTGCTTAGATTGAAAAGTATGTTTTCTATCTTGTTCCTGGTTGGTTTAATTTACTTCCAGGCTGTTCTTTATAATGTATCAGAACAGCAGTTTCTTTTCCAAAGTCCTCACCAGGGACCACTCGTGGCGGGGAGGATTTGTTTCCTGTGTGTTCCTTACACTAAGGCTTCCACAGCATGAGCCTGTGCAGGAATCACTGTGGGAGGAGAGTGGGTCTTGGTAAAATACAGGTTTGAATACTGTCAGTCTGAGGCCATGGCCTCAGAATCTGCATTTCTGACAAGCTTCTGGGGGTGCTGATCATAATTTTTAAAGGTTGAATTATTATTTACATACAGTAAAATTCACCCTTTCTGGTGTGTAATTCTGTAAGTTTTTGACAAACAAGGTTGTGGAACTACTACCATAATCAAAACAGAACAGCTTGATTATCTCCTCAAATTCCTTAGTACCCCTTTGTAGTCAGCCTTTTCTTCACTCCCATTTCCTGGCAACCACTGTCTGTTCTCTGTCTTCATAGTTTTATCTTTTCCAGAATGTCATGAAAGTGGAAGAATTCAGTATGCAGCCTTTTGAGCCTGGCTTCTTTCACTTAGCAATATGCTTACAAGAGCTATCTAAATTGTTTTACACAGCAGTAGTTTTTCTTTATACTGCTGAATAGTACTTCATTGTGCAGATGTGTTATAGTTTGTTTATCCAATCACCAGGTGAAGGACATTAGTGTTTCCAGTTTTTCCATTATGAATTAATCTTTAATTTAAAAATGTTGGGACTTTAGAAGAAATATAATTCTCTTGTATCATTGTTATTTTAGGTGACATCACTCAAAAAGGATACGAAAAGAAAAGGGCAAAGCTGCTTGCACGTTATATACCACTTATTCAAGGTGAGGTCAACATATTCAAGTGTTTTATAAATTATATTGTCTCGTAAAGCTGATTAAAAATTGATTTTAGAGCTTAACATTGGTATGTTTCCTGTTAAGAAAGACTGGGCAAATAATGTGTCTAATATTAAATGATAAAATCCAAAGGCATAGATTATAATTTACAGCTCTGGTTTGGTATAGATCTCATTCCCAAATAGGATTTATTTTATTTTAATGAATATAGAACATGATTATTTATGATTATAGTAAGGGCCATTTCTTTTTTTTTAATCCTCACCTGAAGATATTTTTTTCTATTTATCTTCAGATAGTGTGGGAAGGAGGGGGGGGAGAGAGAGAGAGAGAGAAACATCTGTGTGAGAGAGACACATTGACTGGTTGCCTCTTGTACGAACCACCAGGGCCGGGGACCAACCACAGCCGCGGTACGTGCCCTTGACCAAAATTGAACCCCTGACTCTTCGGTCTCTGGGCTGACGCTCTAACCGCTGAGCCAAACTGGCTGGGGCAGTAAGGAACATTTCTTACTTCGGTTTGAAACAAATATTGTAAAGATGTTAGTTCTTCCCACCTGAGATTGACCTGTAGATTCAGCACATTTAACATTTAAACAGATTTTTATTTTATTTTATTTTATTTTATTTTTTTATCCTCACCCACGGACATTTTCCCAATTTTTGTTCAGATAGAATGGGAAGGAGAGAGAAGAAGAGAGAGAGAAACATCGACATGAAAGGGACACATCGTGTGGCTGCCTCCCGCATGACCCAACCAGGGCCAGGGACAAACTGCAACCGCGGTACGTGACCTTAGTGGGAACCAAACCTGGGTCTCTCTGGATCGCAGGCTGACGCTCTAACTGCTGAGCCAAACTTCCCAGGGCTCAACAGATTTTTTTGGTGTGTGTAATTTAACAAGTTAATTCTAAAATTTATATACAAGTTTAAAGGGCCAAGGGATTTAATATATGCTCACAAAAGAAGGATGAGGTGGGAAGATTTGCCCTACCAGGATATGAAGAATGAATGTCAGGCTGTCATCAGTACGACAGCATGGCTGGGCACAAGGGTTGATAGTTGGATGAGCAGAGCAGAGCATGGAGCCCAGGCACAGATGTGCATGTGATGGAGACCTGGCTTATGGTAAAGATAGCATTGCAGGTGATGATGTTGGCCCAGTTCTTTACCTACATGTGAGACACACAACATTGGACACAAAAACCAGTTCCAGTATATGGTAGGCCTAAATGTGAAAAGCAAATACTATTACACCTATAAGAGGTCATATAGGAAATTGTCACCATCTTGAGATAGGAAGGACTTCTTAAGTTACTAAAGGCACCAAAAAGCAGCAACCATAAAGGAAAAGATTAGTAAATTGGACTCTGTTAAAATTAAGAATTTCATTTTATCAGCTTACCATGAAGAGATTATAGACAAGCCACCGAGTGGGAGAAGAGGATTATAACATAAATAACTAAAAGCAGCACCATACAGTAGAACTTCCTGGGATAATGGAAGTGTTCTGAGGCTACAGTGTTCAGTGTACTGAATACTAGCTACATAGAGCTTTGAGCACTTGAAATATGGCTAGTAAAGGGAGACTGATATTTTAATTTGACTTAAATTAATTTAAAAGTAGCCAGTTCTCCAACATAATTAAAATAGAAAAAGCCCAGTAGAAGAATGGGCTGAAGACTTGAATAAGTATTTGAAAACCCTAATGGTCAGCAAGCAGACAAAAGGTTCTCAACCTCAGCAGTAATCAGAGAAATGCAGATTAAAGCCTAACCTACCTCAGATTGTTGGAGAGGATTCAGATGGTGGGGCTATGGGCAGCTGGTGTTACCTGGTAAAGTTGAAGAAGTCATAGGTAACCAGCAATTCTCCTTCAGGAATATTAGTGCCCTCAAGAAACTTTGAATGTTCGTACTTGTGTTTGCCTGTGCACAAGAGTGTGTATCGTATCCTTCAACTGCCAATAACTCGAACACCAACCAACAGAATTCATATCGGGGAAAACTGAACATCTACATATATTAACAAGGATGAAGCCATAAACATATGTGGGGGGGGGTGACAGAAACAATTGCAAAGGAATATAGGCAATGTAAATTAAAAACATACCAAACTGCACTATTTAGGAACCTTTATGTAGTTGATAAAGAAAGACAAGGAAGTGGGTTTCACTGAGGTCGACACTCATCGTGGATGAGACTAGAGGAACCAGAGGATCCTGAGACACTTGAATGTTTATTTAAATTTTTTATATGTTTTTATTGATTTTTTTTAGACAGAGAGGAAGGGGGGAGAGAGAGAAACATAAAGAGAGACATCAGCCCTGGCCGGTTTGGCTCAGCGGTTAGAGCGTCGACCTGCGGTCCGGAGAGACCCGGGTTTGGTTCCCGCTAAGGGCACGTACTTCGGTTGCAGTTTGTCCCCGGCCCTGGTTGGTCGTGCGGGCGGCAGCCACTCGATGTGTCCCTTCACGTCGATGTTTCTCTCTCTCTCTCCCTCCCACTCTATCTGTACAAAAAATGGAAAAATATCCTCGGGTGAGGATTAAAAAAAAAAAAAAAGAGAGACATCAATTGGCTGCCTCCTGCACACCCCACACTGGGGATTGAGCCCGCAACCTAGGCACGTGCCCTGACTGAAATCAAACTGGGATATCTCAGTCCATGGGATGGTGCTCAATCCACTGAGCAACCAGGTGAGTATTTATTTCTTAACCAGTATAGTCGTTACATTGATTGTTTCCTTATAATAATTCTTTTTTTTAATTTTTTTTTTATCCTCACCTGAGGACATTTTTCCATTTTTTGTACAGACAGAGTGGGAGGGAGAGAGAGAGAGAGAAACATCGACGTGAAAGGGACACATCGAGTGGCTGCCACCCGCACGACCAACCAGGGCCGGGGACAAACTGCAACCGAAGTACGTGCCCTTAGCGGGAACCGAACCCGGGTCTGTCCGTACCGCAGGCCGACGCTCTAACCGCTGAGCCAAACCGGCCAGGGTCCTTATAATAATTCTTAAACTAAAAATATTCTTTATGCTGCCTATATCAGTGTGATATATTTTACAGTCAACAACAAAAAGAATAATGAGGAGTCTCTTTATATTCTGACACTCATTCCTCCAAAATAAAACATAAACAACCTCTGGGTAAAATTGGAATTTAAGGAAATGATGGAAACATCTGACAGCCCATTTGCAAACATCGACAGCTGCCTGCAGCATTTAATCCTGTGCAGGGTGAGACAGGGTGCTCTCTGTGCCTGCTCTTAGGCCACTTTGTGTGGGGCCATGCCAGTGCAGTGCGATGGGAAACAAAGCAGGATAAACATCTTCATTTACAGATGGTGTTTAATTTGATACCTTGAAAACCCAAGTGACTGCTTGTTAACTGTTAGAATTAGTTAAGAGTTTTTGGTTTGACATAAGACAAATACGAAGAATCTATAGCTTTTTTCTGGCAGGATTTCTGTTAATGAAGAAACACTTATAATGGCAATAAACTTTCAATTGTTTATTAATACATTTAGCAAGGAAGCCTATATTAGGGTCATAAAATCTATTTGAAAGAAATAACCAAGACCCTGAAGTAGAAGAAACACTAATTTCCTAAAAGGAAAAACTTAATATTATAAAATGGCCAGTTTTAAAATTAATATGTGAATGTAATGTAGTCCAGCCTGAATATCGGTGGCTGATTTTCTCCCCCCAAAAAAACTGCGCTTGGTAGGATTCCAAAATGGCGGTGGAGTGAACGGAAGCTACACAGACTGTCTCCCAGAACCAAACAGGAATTACAGCTATAACACAGACAAATTGATGGGAAAAAGCAACAGAAAAGCAGCTTGCAAGGACCATATAAGCAGGGACACTGACTCGATCCTGGTAGGATTGCGAAGGCACGAGACGGGGGCTGGGAGCCCGCTGGGAGCAGCGGCCTTAGCTGGGAGCAGTGCCCTCGGGTTACACTCCCAAGCGGCTCCACAGCGCAGAGCCGAGACAGAGGCTAAAAAAGCCACAGCCACTCACCTTGGGCTCCGGCAGAGGGAGGGAAGACTGGACTGGAACTGTGTGGGCACACTCCGGATTTGGAAGGCACTCAGCTTTTGCTGAGTTGCTGCCACGCAGGACGGTGACCATCTTGCTCCTTACCCAGGGCTCAGAGGAGAGGCATCAGCCCCTCCCTCGAGATCCAACCCCACCCTGTGGGCCATTGAAGTGCTAATTGAGACTCATTAACAACCAGCATCTGCCCCACCCTGAGGGAGTTTTTCAATCAACTGACAACCAAAACTCATCAAGTAACCTGACTGCTAGCCTCTAGGCAAGAAACTAGAGGATAACAGTACCTTTCCTAGGCTAGCAACTTTAACCAGGAAAGTAAGACTTGACAGTGGTGTTTAACGTGGGTACTCCCTCGCTCATCTAAACCCAGGAGAGGGAGCCACAAACAGCAGAACACCAACAGCCACAGGGAAAACTTGACAGGCTCCAAAGCCCACTGTGATAGCCAAAATGGTGAAACACAGAAACAGAAGCCAAATGAAAGAACAAGAGACCTCCCCCGTAGATGAGATTAATGTGGAGCAGTTAGGCATGTTAACAGAGCTAGAATTCAGAGCCATGATCTTGAGGAAGCTCAACAGCATGAATAAGGACATAGAGATGCTGAAAATAAGCCAATTGGAAATTAAAAACCACCAAGAAGAGATAAAAAATGACATATCAGAAATGAAAAACACACTGGAAGGTCTAAAAAGCAGAGTAGAGGAAGCTGAGGACCGGATCAGGGAATTAGAAGACAGGGTAGAAAAAATTGACAAATCAGAAAACCAAAAGAAAAAAACGATTAAAAAAACAGGAAGACAGCTTAAGAGAACTGTGGGACAACTGGAAATGTAATAATATTTGCGTCGTAGGAGTCCTCGAAGAAGAAGAAAATGAACAAGGGTTAGAGAATATATTTGAAGAAATAGTGAC